TCTATTCTATTCTATTCTATTCTATTCTATTCTATTCTATTCCATTCCATTCCATTCCATTCCACTCCACTCCACTCCACTCCACTCCACTCCACTCCATTGCATTCCTCCCCTCCTTTTGCCACTGATCTACTCAAGTCATAATTAAGCTGAAGTTTCTTTTTTGATGTCTCCCTAGTGTGCTGATGACCGTGATGCGGTGTGTACCCGCTCAGTCTCCGTGCAACTCCAGGACGAGAACCTCATTATCAAATTGAAACATGGTGGTGGTGTGTCCGTGAATGGACAGGACGTTCAGATTCCCTTCCTACAAAGTACGTCGCCTTCTTGCTTAATGCCATCTCCTCCATTTCCAGGAGGGAGACCTCCAGCTCATGTTTCGTTACAACAGGGGTGGGGAATGATGGGCCTTTTATGACTTGTGGACTTCAAGATAGTGAGATTCATGTTCGCAGAAGAGGTGAGATGGAGGTGGGGAAATTGGTGGCTGGGGAATTCTGGGAGTTGAAGTCCACAAGTCTTAAAGTCTCCCAGGTTGGACATCCCTGGTCTAAGAGCTTAATTTCAAGCCCTGTTCTTCAACGGGAGAAGAAAGTTCAGGAGGTTTCGGCACTTTTAGAGACTTTAAATTTTGTTTTCTGGGATGGGTTGGTCTGTTCCCTTATCTACGTCCACCAGGATCTCTGGCACAACTGGAAACCTACAGCAGAAAGTTAAATGGATGCATCTTGGGCTTAGGGAAAAGGGCTAGGTTTCAAGAGAGGAAGGGCAAAAACAGAAACAGAGGAAACTGGACCTCTGCAAAAAAAAAAAAAAACAGCTTTAAGAAAACTGGTCATTTGCCTTGAGCATTTGAAAATCACATTCCAATCACCACTAATTGCCATGAAGAACTATGGGTTATGAGGCCAGACAAGGGACAATGGGCGGAAATTGATTAAAGAGAGGTTCAACTCTAGAAATAAGGAGAGATTTTTTTTGTCAGTGAGAACAATCAACCAATGGAGCAGCTTGCCTTCGGAGATTCTGGGTGCTTCATCACTGGAAGTTTTCAAGGAGAGACTGTTTGAAATAGTATAGGGTCTCCTGCTTGAGCAGGGGCTGGACTAGAAGACCTCCAAGGTCCCTTCCAGCTCCTATTCTATTCTATTTCTATTCTTTCTATTTCTATTATTCTTATTCCTATTCCATTGTGTTCCATACATTCCATTCTATTCTTCCTTATTCTATTCTATTGTTCCTTATTCTATTCTATTCTATTCTATTCTATTCTATTCTATTCTATTCTATTCTGTTCTGTTCTGTTCTGTTCTGTTCTGTTCTATTCTATTTCTATTTCTATTATTTCTATTTCTATTTCTATTATTCCTATTCCATTCCATTCCATTCCATTCTATTCTATTTCTATTATTTCTATTTCTATTATTCCTATTCCTATTCTTATTCCTTTCTGTTCTGTTCTGTTCTGTTCTGTTCCATTCCATTGAATTCCATTGAATTCCATTCTATTCCACTCCACTCCACTCCACTCCACTCCACTCCACTCCACTCTACTCTACTCTACTCTACTCTACTCTACTCTACTCTACTCTGGTTTCAGATGGAATTTAAGTTAGGTCATATTCTGTCCTGGAAGGGCAGCCTAAATGTTTTCCTTACTTTTCCAGCTGCTGCTTCTGGGGAAATTCAGATAACGAAAATACACCCAAGCACACCCCCACTGGTTCCTTTATTGTTTAACTGGAAGGGAGTTGTGAGTAAGGGATTTAGTCAACAGGTCCGCCTACATTTCCTTACCAGAAGGGAAGAGGGGATTACAAAAGAACTGTGTGTGTTTTTGACGTAAAAAGGCTGTCTAAGAGCTTGAGGTGTCTTTCCTCAGATCGCTTCAATTTCAAGATGATTGAACCGTCACGGGTTGCTGCTAGGGATCATGCAAATTATCATGTGCTTTGCTGGGAGAACTTTTCTTTGAACGGGAGCAAAGTTACTTGCTATGTGGAGGCCAAACAGAGCCCTTAATTGTAGAGCTTGTGGGTATTGTTTTTTAACAGAATATCAGCTGGAAGAGACCTTGGAGGCCTTAAATCCAACTTCCTGCTCAAACGGGAGACTTGTAGCTTTGAACCGTCACCAAAGAATGTTGTAAATTGAGGCTTACCTAATAACAATAACAATAACAATAATAATGACAACAGCAGCAGAATACAAGAGAAAGAACTGGAGAAGATAACAAAATACAAAGGCTTACAAATAGATATAGAACGACTATGGCAAAGGCAAGCAAGGGTAGTACCAGTAGAATAGAATAGAATAGAATAGAATAGAATAGAATAGAATAGAATAGAATGGAATGGAATGGAATGGAATGGAATGGAATGGGATGGGATGGGATGGGATGGGATGGAATGGAATGAAATGGAATAGGATTCTTTATTGCTCAAGTGTAATTGGACACACAAGGAATTTGTCTTGGTGCAAATGCTTTTAGTGTACATAAAAGAAAAGATACGTAGTAATAGGTGCCTTGGGTGCAGTCCCAAAACCACTTGAACACCCTGGGCATTGACAAATTTGCCATCAGTCAATTGCGGAAGGCAGCTTTACTTGGAACAGCTTCCATCCCTGCGGCAATATCTGTAACACCATCAAACATCCAGATTTGTCCAGGTCCTTGGTAAGGACTCGATGGGTAGACAAAAATGCCATACCCAGTCTGGACATCTGGCTGACTGTGTGATGAATAATAATAACAATGATTAAATGATATTTGTGATACGTTTCTAAATGTTTTTATTTATTTTTTATTTATTTGATTTGTCAATTGCTTACAAGATAATAGGTATAAGTATATACATAGTTATGAATACATAAAATGGGTACATATAAGAAAAATAAAAGAAACAATAGGACAGGGATGGTAGGCACGTTGGTGCGCTTATGCACGCCCCCTACAGACCTCTTAGGAAAGGGGTGAGGTCAATAGTAGACAGTCTAAGGTTAAAGTTTTTGGGGTTTGGGGAAGAAACCACAGAGTCAGGTAGAGTATTCCAGACAT